AATTATATCTTGGAAAGGTGCATCATACATTGTGAATCCTTCTTCAAAACAGCGTCATGAGAGTTATTTATATATTGCGTCAGTGACGTACGTGTCAAAAAAATGAAGATCGTGTCCGCTTTTACTAATTTACTTAAAGAGAGCGGACCGGTAGATTAGAGATATCGAGGGGGTTTCTTATGGTTTATGTACTTTATCAAATACAGAATTTGATTTAGTTCGATTGTATAGGGAGCTATAAGCTAAACCAACCAGTACTGGTCAATGAGTGTGAAATTTCTTGCTCAAGGAAATAACGACTTGCCCCTGACAGGGTTTAAACCCGTGCGGCAAGCGACCATAAGATAACTAGTCAGGCACGTTAACCACTCTGCTAAGCCGCCACTCGTTTGATTTGACAATTACATGTCACGATAAATCTAAAAATAACATATTAAACCTTTAGAAAAACTGGTGGCTGCTTTAACAGACTATAAATGCTACCAATTGTGGTTTGAACACCTCAATTATCCATTCTTTAAATAGAACTCACGATCATTTGTCATTTGTTAAGCTTTTTTTGTCAAACCATTAGTCTTCATTTGGGTAAATGGTTTTCCTATGGAAGCAGACATGTCATAGATAATAGCTGCAGGATGTATAGGTTTTATTTTAGCATTGATATCTAAAAGCCAGCTTCCAAAAACGCGAAAATGTAATAATAATATTGAGTGTTTTTTTATAAAAACAACTTTATTTTCTAAAGGAAAACACTTCATTTCATGGCAATCTAGTTATCACAAAAAACATGTATTTTAATAAAATAAGTTTGATAATATAGAGGATATTTGTTTGTTTGTGTGCAAGATGAAATTTTATTTCATCGAGTGGGCTAAAGTTCATGAGATGAAATAAAATTAAATCTTACACAACAAACAAACAAATTTTCTTTTTATTTTATGCTTAAAAAACAAGTTAAAACGAAATTTCCTTAACATTAACTTTAATATTAAAATCTGTTTTCCCCACGGAGAGGCTATATCAGTCGAATTTCTCATAAAATACAAGAAGCCTTGGGCTGAAAAATAAGTTCCTCAATCAACGTTAAATGGCGGTGATATTATTTATTTCATTAAAAAAAATATGAATGATTGCTTGTTTTAATAAAAAAAATTTTAGTAGAAGAAAAAGTCACACCATTTGACCTTATTTCCGTTACTTACTGCGAATTTATATTAGACCTGGCCTTGTGAAATGTAAGCGGCCGCCATTTTTAAAAGTTGTGTATTTCACGGGAGGAAAATAATTGTGTTTGATTTAGAGGGATACCATTTGGATTTGTTATCATTTAAGAAGAAAGAAAACTAATTTGAAGATTGTTACAGACAATAGATAAGTGTTGACAGATGTTTAAACATTTAAAAAGCGGCTAGGAAATTGGAAAATATGGAATTGTCGAAACGCTGCCATACGGACGCTGGTTTGTTTACATATTTTTCGTGCTGATGGCTGCCATTGCGTTCCAAGTTTTCATATTGCATTAGGCAATTATTGCGCGTAGGATACTTAAATATGCCCACATGTCATCAAGAGCAGTTTTGCATGTGGAAGGCATTGTATTCAGACTGTAAAAATGAAACAAAAAATTAGAGATGATATTTGGTGATTGGTAATTTGAATGAATTGAAGTAAGTATCCCTCTTTTCATTGCTTTTCAAATCAAGTTATTTATCAAGTTTAGCTTTGCGTTTCTCTGTCAGAATTGTCAGCAAAAATAAAATTGAGGTACCACATGGGGAAAACTTGAAACATTAGTTTGGTTATTGAAAAGTGTGAAATTATATTTTGATAATTTTCACTATGAAAAAAATCAAATATAATTTTCACGGATAAAATAAGAGTGTTTAAAACGATATTGTCAAATAATACAAAAGTGAAAAGAAATTCAGGCTGACGAGATAAACTAGAATTTGACATTCCCTTTCAAGAACAGCGATTAACTTGTGATGGCAAAAATTTGAAAGAAGACTTGTTTTTTTTTTTTCAATGCGTTTATTTAAGGTCGCCGCGGGAAAGCCCATATGGGCGACCGTACACTCAAGTCGGGCCATCCTAGAGCGTCCCGCCGAGATTTTTTCGTCGATTTTTTTTCCAGCTTTATTGGTGGAGGAAGACCCCAGGTACCCCTCCGGGCATTATTTCAGGCACGAGCGGGCACCTGGGTAGAACCACCGACCTTCCGTAAGCCAGCTGGATGGCTTCCTCACATGAAAGATTTCGACCCGAGTGAGGATCGAACCTACAGCGGTGAGGGACCTGTGATCTCAAGTCAGCGACCTTAACCACTCGGCCACGGAGGCCCCAAAGAAGATTTGTATAAATTATACTTAATATATAGTAACCTTTGTACGGAAGCGTTTCGGTGCCAGATTAATAATTTTCAATAAAAAATATTTACGCCTTCGTTTGAGATAAAAAAACAACTTTATTATTAGTTAAAAAGCCATGCATACATAGAAGAAAGTAATAATAAAGTCCTACTTTGGAGTTATAAAGTCCTACATAGATTTTATAAACTCCTTAATACGGTATTTTTCTCATACAAATGAGTTATTATCTTTACAGAACATTAAGAATTGGCACCAGGACGAGTCCATACATTTGCGAGTAGATTTATTCAAGAAAAAACAATTTTACATGTGAAAATATAATTTGACACAAATGTTTTTTTTTATTAAATAGGGAAGAAAAGAAAACCGTCAAGAACGTCCAAAACAACAACATGGAAAATGTTGCAAACTCGGTTTGATTGAGCCGGTTCATTGGCGGTACTGGTAAGTGCAAGTTACCTTCTACGCCACCTAGAACCGGCTGAAGCAGAATTCAACATTTAAACAATGGTGAGATTTTGAAGACATCATGTGCATCGAAATAACAACATGTAAGTAGTTTAAGCTTTACATTTCAATTAAGTTACGTCTAAATTAGAGTTATTCGTGTTATATACATTTGGTTCAGTATCTTTGTAGAAACGCTTCGGTTGTTTGCAAGAATTCACAATATTATTGCCAACATATTGCCAAATGTTTTTTGTCGGAATGTAATCAAAGTGAAACAATTATTCAGTAGAAATTGTAAACATCCATTTCCCGTGTAATAACATTGAAAATTGAGATGAAATAAAATACAGAAATAAGTTTGCGTTTATTTAAGGTCTTTAGTTTATCATTCGTTCCGTATACTTTAATGTATTCACATATTTGTATAGAATATAATTATTTGAAAATTAGGAAAAAAAATGTAAACTCCTTATAATATTTCGTACAAAAATATATTTCGACATATGTTACGAAAACCATTGTTTCCGTGATGCTACTTCTGTTATATGCGCTCTGAAAGCATTGCAAACACTTGGTCTAGTTTTATGGAAGACATGATTATTAACCAATATTTTCTAATTTGATGGTAGCATTGTTCTGACATGTTTCCTATAAAGTCGGTAATTGGCACTAAGTTCGTTCACAGAATCGAGTAGATCATTATTATTTGGCCCTTCTCATCGTTTTGTGTGTGTATCGAACATGAAAAACATTATGAACACTACGAAGTTTTATTAGAAAAAGCAGTATGGGGAATTTCAATAGATTGTACATTATATTTAAAATGGAAACAGACAAAAATAATTGATGACTTTCCTAAGAGTTGCTTTTTCATTTATAGAAATTTTTTTTTTTAATGCCGTTATGCACGAGAATGCACCAGCAAACATTAGCAGCCGATATCAGTATGTCCTGCTGGGGTCCTTGCCGGTGGTCCTACGTTGGGGGATGCGTTCATTGAATGCTAGCCTGCTTCCATGTTGATCTTGTTTTTTGTTGGTTTTTGGGTTTTTTTGTAAAGTATAACCGTTTTACTTTCCACCTATATGTTTGACTCCTAAAAGAATGTTTACTTATTTACTTATATATGAGATATAAGAAATGTATAAACGATATAAACAGCAACAATCTTTCAAATCTTTTAATAACTTAATATCTAAAACACTTCAATCAGTACAGCATTATTTAAAGATAATAAAGCACATTTAAAAAAGAGATATTATTTTATTCATCGCGTTCGGCTCCAAATGAGTGCCAAATCTCTGTGATGTCTTGGTCCATTCATTCGTGCAAATAAAGACAGAATCTGATGATAAAGTACGCTAATATAAGTAAAAATTAAAAAAAGAAATTAAAGAAAAAAGCTAGTAGTTTAAACACATTTGCATCAGTGACTTACAGTTATATACTTACATTTTGTATTTACAGTTCATTTGAAATTCAAAATGGATGTATGTAAATCAACCACATTTTATGTAAAACCTCACTGATTTATGTAAAACCTCACTCAAAACATTCTTCTTCCTGAGCATGTAATACTTTAATTGCCAGTTACTGTCAACTAGATTATGACCCTATACATTCAATTGTACACCTGACTGAACAATACAGTACAGATATGCGCACTTTATGTAAACAAACGTTGCATTGATGATCAAACTGAACTCTTATTTCAAATATTACTACAATACAGATATGCGCACTTTATGTAAACAAACGTTGCATTGCTGATCAAACTGAACTCTTATTTAAAATATTACTACAGTACAGATATGCGCACTTTATGTTATCAAACGTTACATTGATGATCAAACTGAACTCTTTTTTCAAATATTACTACAGTACAGATATGCGCAGTTTTTGTTAACAAATGTTGCATTGTTCAAACTACGCTACAATGTCGTTGTTTTATAATTAATAGAAACATACGTATTTTGATGAAATTATTTGTATTGTTAATCCAAACCAGTTTTATGAATATTGCTAATATTAAAAGTCGTTAAGGGATGCTTCAAAACTTGTGGTTTGGCAATCATAAAATATACAGGCAATCATATTCTTGTATTGACCACCTGTCATAAATGCTTTTCAACTATAACCAAAGAATATTAAATGTACCGCTCAATAATATTAAATGTCTGTTTTTTAAACTGTTACATACGTCTGCATTTTACATTAACTATTTCAGGAAACAATTAGAGTCTTGAAGACATACTGGATGATGGATCGTCTGTGTCGTTTCATATATCTCGTATTCTTTTCTTTATTGACAGATACTCATCAAGCAGGTGCCCATCTTTTGGCAATGGCAAACTTGTATCTGCACCTATGACCTTCGCCTATGACCTTCGTTGTTGTTTTGAGATTAATATATGCACTTCTATAAATCAATTATGTACATTCAAGAGTATAACAATTGTATCACAATTCTGTTTGGCCTTGTGTAAAGTGTTCAAATCCGATGCAAGGTGGTGGAGTTGAATAGTTAAACTGAAAGTAAAAAAGAAACATGACAATAATTCATCTGGTAATGTTTCTATCTTATGAAACACCGGTCCAACGGTGTTTTTAATTTCCGCCCTTAATTTTTTCGGGCTAATTTGGCAGTATTTATGGTTTCAACTGTTACAAGAGCGAAAACTATAGCTTCAGAGACCATCTGACTGACTCTGCAAATGGGATTTATCATTGCATTTGAAGATCTAAAAGTCAAAGTTTCTGCCATTTTCTTGATTTACCAGGGTTACCAATGAGTATACAATTAGTATCAAATCTTTCAGCAAAAATGATAGTCATGGCGAATCCTAATGAGTCGATTATTTGAAGTGAGACGGTAGAATTTAATTTTTTATGGCTTCTTTACTTCTGTCTGAATGATTTACTAAAGTTGAAAGATGCTACAGACTAAATAAAACAGTAATCAAGACTGCAGTCAAGTTGTTATACAGCGAGTATATGTGTATGAGTGATAATTCTATGCGAGTTCATACGATATTTATCAAAAAAAATTAAAAAAGAAAATCCTGATAAAAATGAATTATTTTTATTATTTTCGTAGTTTTATTTTGCCGCAAAATTGTACTACTGAAACCTATTAAAAAGTAAATGCTATACCGTTGACTCTTGTTTTTCACTGCATTTCATGGTGTTGTTTGAATGATCGTTACCGATGTCACCATTCTCTCGTTCATTTGAAGCATGGCTGAGCAAAGTTGTAACAGTTTCAGTAGCCTTAATATAAGACGTCTGTAATGGTTTAAAAAATATGATAACTTTTATTATTGCATTAAATCATACTGAATTTTCTCCAAGTAAAGAAACAATAAATTGATGTAACATTGATTTTTTAAAGATACATATGACAAAGTATGCCATAGCGTGAGACATTAAACATCATACAAATCATGGGTAGACAAACAAGCTCGTATTAACAAGACAGCTTAGATTGAAGTTCATATGCCAACTCTAGAAGAATCTATAGCTGTCAAAATATTTCAGCAAAATGACTGATATATAATGTTCTTATCTTTTATAAGTAAAGACGATGTCATACCTTTTCTAAAAACTTGGTTTTTGTGCATAAAAACTCTATACTGGCCATAACAACAGCAACGGCAAGACCACCAACTAGAATGTAGAATATCCCGGCAACATTGCTCAGAGAAAGTTCTCTTTTACCAGAGGAATCCTACAACGTACGATCAAGAAAGGTATATTTGGATAATTTAATTTTCATTTTTGTTTATGAAAAGGTTTTAAAGATGATCATATAATCTATATTATTTATAGAATTAACAACATTAAATCTTTGTTTTGCAAATAATATTGAAACTGACACGTACAATTGTGCCTGTTTTGTTCAGGGTTTGGAAAACTTACAGAGCTCATGGCGCAGACACCTTTGTCCTTCCACCAAGTTCTTTTTAACTTTGGTAACATCTTCCATCAACATAAGAACTGCCATGTTCATTTCATCACTGTCAATCATACAATGATGCACTTCATTTCATATTTACATTATATACTCTGGCTTCTGTATCAAATATCTTTACATATGTGTGCAAGTTCCTGTGACAGTTTTGTTCTAAGCTACAGCCATAAAAACGCAGTACAAGTATGTAACCTGCCACATTTTATGTACATTATGCAATTATTATTCTAATATTCAGATACCATTACATTAAAGCTGGTTTGATAATGAACATACATAAATATTATTTGATTTTAACGTTCAGTAACAGTTTACGTTCAACTAGGATTGCTAATGATTAAATAAAAAACTTAGAATGTCAACACACCTCAACGGTGAATTTTTCCGTGTAGCTATGCCGTATCCTTTGGAATTTAGGTTAGGCCCAACTTTCATCGTGTCACATGGTTCCTTACTGTTTTCATACTCATTTAACGGAGACTCAAGTAAATAAGCATATTTTCCTTTTGATTTCTTCACCCGTTCAATACCTTCATCATTAGACTTGACGTAGACAGAAGGGTTACTTTCCATATATGCCCACATTCGAGCATAAACAGGCACTTTAGAGTTCTGTAAATAAATTTAAGTAGATCAATATATGATGCGCAATTAACAGTATGTCAAACACAACCAGACAGTCCTTATGTTATCAGTCTCAGGTCTCTTTGTTAACTTTATGCATTATATGGATCCCGCCATATTATGTAAACAAAAGGCAAACAGACAAGAAATATACAAATCATTGCTTTTGAATAGGTTGCAAAGCATTTAAAAGCATTAAACTGATTTAAATAAAGTAAGACCGCGTTGTTGAAAATTCATACGATTGATTGCTTAATTATCAATGAGTATACATGAGGTATGCATGAGAGATAATCAAATTATCCTTGACCTCATGTGTGCCTACAAACATTGCGGTTATTTGTACATAAGCGATGTGATATAACAAAACGCGTTAGCGGAAGAAAGCAAGTAAAGGAAAAAAAAACACTAACTAAATGTGTACCAATGTTCGTAATAAACATGCAGTTAGTAATCTGTAAATGACATTCAATAACCAATTTAATCCCATCGCATATTTTGCTATGTACTATGATTTATTTCTTTACCTTGAAAAATTGTTTTGTAGATCCTGAAACTAACACCCCATATTTGATATCTGTCTGCAATGATAGATCATCTGCCGACTCAATGGGCACAAACATTCGTTCAATTGTAAGAAAAGCAGCTAAATTGGCAGTGTATGAAGATATTATAATCAACACGAAAAACCACCATACAGTTCCTATCACTCGTCCGGAAAATGATCTGCAGAAATATCAATATTTTATTCATTCTCGTACACGATGATGTATGAGATGATAGTAAGAAATAACATAGTATACTAGTATTAGGTTTGACGTCAAGCACAGAAAGAACATAATAATATAATATAAGTTAAACTATCATTAACCTGTACAAGACGTTTCCAATTTACAATTGAATTCAAACGCTAATGTTCTTCTGAAAAATATTGAACGTGTACAAAACATTAAATACAACCAAAAATTAAACAACAAAATGCAATAACAGAAATCCTCAAGAACGAAACGTAATCACATCAAAATTATAAATGTTGCAGGCTTGGTTTGATTTAGCCTGTTCCTGGACGGTAGTGGGAAGTGAAAGCTGCCACCAACACCCCTTTCACCAACTAAAGCAGATTTCAAAATGTAATAATTAAAATGGCCTACATGTTTTGTAAAAAGGTCCATTGACGTGTTCTTAAGGTTGTTCTCAGGACACTTTCGTGCCATTCCACAAAAAAAACAAAGCAAGGAAAGAGACGTCTGCACATATTGATTTGACCTAACAAGGGGGCTAAATCTTGCAAATATAAATGCTAAAACAGTTAGCTAGTGTTATTGATGTACTTTTGCTGTTGAACTGTACCTTTCTTCAGACATTGAATAAAATGTAAAACAAGATGATCTTTAATTATAATGTCAATATCTTTTTAAACTTTCATGATATTGGACAACACACAAGCGTATGAATATTTCTTTTCTAAATTAACAAAGATTGTATAGAATACATACTGTTAAAATTAAAGATTTTCTCAAAATCATTGCTTAAAATTAATTGTTATAATTTCTGTGTTGAGCTTAATATGCAAAGTGGTTAAATAAAATAATAAATTTTGTTAGAATTTATGACTTTCGTTATATCAACTCAAAAGCTGATATAATGTTTTACTGCACACCATAAATATGTATATTGTCTGTCGATTAATCAACTAGGTGAAACTTGTCTCTGAACAAAGATTGAACTAAAAAGTTAGTCAGTTGCTCAAAGCTTAATTGTAGCCCTCAGTTTTGATGTATGAATACACTTTATAATACTGTAACGACGCTTTTTAATGGATAATCGTGACGTTTATATTTTTTTCATAATACTGCACGTTTGTAATGTCACTTTTCATTAGATAATCGTGACGTTTATATAGTTTTATAAACACGGCCGCTGTCAATTTTATAAGAAATATCACACTTTTCTAAAAAATAGGGCAGTTTGCTGTATTATAAATTAGTTATAAACATTCCTGACAGGTTATATGACGTATATAAACAGTTGCTTGCAATATAAACTTCGCCTAACGGCTCGGGTTATATTTCCAAACAGCCGTTCATAAAGGGCCATTTTTAAACCTGTTAAAATATTTATAACTAATAATATACACAGTTGCCGTCAATTAATGAAGAACTCTTATTTTGTGTTCTAAAATAATGCTATATAAACATATAAACGGTTGTTTGCAAAATAACCGTTTATATAGGGTCATATAGCCTGTCAGAAATATTTATTACTAATAATAAACACTTTACCTCGGACAAGAATCACTTCCTTGTAACATAAGGGCTCCCATGGCAAACCATAAGGAGTTAAGTATTCCAAAATGATCTCCTATTGGCCCGCTATTAGAGGTATTCCATTCAAATGGACTGAATCTTCCAATCAAGAATAATCCAACACTCACTGAACTGTATGCAAAAACAATACAGATCCAAATTTTTGTCTCTAATGGTTCCATAAATGAAAATACCCCTGGTTTCATGATCTCCGGTTTCTTAATCATAATACTGATTCCGAAATTCATAAACGGTTTAGAGAAATCAACGACCTTTTCCCTGTCGTAAGTAATGGTTAATGGTGCAATACAGATATCTGCTTGCTGGAAAAGTAAAATTAGTTTGTAGTTTTAAAACAATTCTAGAATATAAAAGTTAATAATATTACACCAAACAATATTCTTATTATAATTATTACGCAAATAAAAAAAACTAAAATAAGTTTACAGATAAATTTCTGTTAAGAGTAAAAGTATGGTTTTTTATTTTATTTTTTTAATATTTGTTGATAAAACCAATATGACAAATTATTTTCAGTCAATTTAAATGTTTTAATGAATCAAATCCTGTAAAGAAAGCTGAAAGAGTTACTTTACAGTTCAGATAAATGTTTAAAAAAACATTCAATTAGATATATATATAGAAATGTAGATGAACCAAGTTTTAATATTTAAGTTAACTTACAGATCGCATTAATTCCCCAACCATCCCGTCCCACGTGCCATTTTTTAACTTCGCGCCATATTGCCCGTCCTTAACAATTTGCAGCTCGTACTCAAATTTATATTTTTCACTTATCTTATCCGCAAGATCCTTCACGTAACCTGGAAAAAAAAGAAATACTTTTTAAGCAATATAACAGCATCTAGAACTTTCACATAATTACTCTTACAACAGACATTAATCTACACAACAGCAGCGAGGTCCTTTACATAACCTTACAAAAAAAAATATAGTACTGTTACTGATTTAGTATTTTGTATGGAAATCAATATACTACTTTGTTTACTTTTAGTTTCTTTTATGATAAAGCATTTCAAATTGAGCGCTTCTATCTTCCGGTAATAATAATGTAATATAAAATATGTTTACCCTCTAGAAGAATTGAAAATGCATTCGTTTCTAAGGCATATCGTGTCTTTAAAAAATATTGCATGTAATTAATAATGATGTATTATTATCAAATAAATATGCACTGTGGTATAGATTTAGTCAATATAAATAAACAAACAACGAGTTTCTTTTAGATGTAAAAACAGTTATCTATTAATATTGATGTAATTGGATTTTGACTCGAATTATCATAAAACACCTTTGCTTCTTATACATAATGATAGGATGGAAACGATGAAAGTTTTAAATAATATGCGTTAGCCGAAACTGTGCAAGTGATGAGAAACTGCATTTAATATACATTGTAGTATCGGTGCACTTTTGAACTAATTAAGAGCAATACATTAACTATATTTACTGAAATACGATTTTTATAATATATTTTTATATCAGTTTAATCCAACCTATAAAATGTACATGATGTAGGCACAAACCCATTCATAATAATCTGCTATTGCGTTCATTACAAAAAGAATTTTTACGAAAATTTGCTAGTATGTTATTTACATTTCATGCGTTATTGCATATGTGCATGATTTAAAAAGTCCAGTTAATTATAGAAAAACATATTATGCTAAAAACAAAGAGATAAAAACTGATCCAGGTATAACCAATATCCCTAAAAATGGAAAGAATAATCAAACCTTCATATCTTTCATTTCCAAGCCAAGCTTTGCCAGTCTTTTCATCCGGCGTCTTTTTCATCAAAAATGGAGCTGCCTTAAATAAAAAAAAGTAATGTCAGATGTATGACTATTACAGGTTTGTCTGACGAATGCGCCTCCTTTTCATAGTCCACCCTATTTTAGCGGTCTTTTACATACCGAAAATGTTAATAGAACAAAAAAGTGAGAAAAAAAACAAGATGTCGTATAGTCTACATGATAAAGATGATAGAAATACAATAGAGGAGATATTTTTGCGTGCATGCACCTTTAACACACATTTTAGATAAGCTTTGTACTGTAGTGTAGTATATCATTTTTCATTTTTGTATATACATTTTTATGACATTTTGATAATTATATAAGTTTTAAAGTTCACGTCATCTACATCTTAATCATTTTCTAGCGATCTGCATTGATGTTTGATTTCTGAAAATATGCATATCAAAGGTTTTAATTTCTATTGCATTTAACAGAACATTGTTCTTATTATAATATTTCGTATTCAAAGGATGCTTTTCATCTTACTCAACGGGTGAAATTTTTAAAAGAAGTAAAACTTTTTAACAAGTATATGGTCAGTCAAGCCTCCGCGTTCGCGAAATATTTCCAAGCACTTTACTTCGGCTGACAGACTGCAAGGTTTTCATATTAATATCCTCAACATATATTCGACTGTTCAAATCATGAGCGTTGCCAATATCTATTTTAAAATAAAGAAGTTTTAATGAAAGATACCGTTACATCATTATATCAGAAAAAGCAATATCTATAGATACATCAACCAATATATCTTTATGTTTTTGTGGAAAAACAAACTCACTATAATACTTGTAATAATGATAGGTCTCTCTTCATTAGGATCGTAATAATCATCGTCAGGATTGTCATGCAGGCCTTTAAATTTTAAATCACTTGGAGTCCATGATCCAAGCTGGAAGACATACAAATGAAAGATGAAAGAACCTCTCATATAAAAGATACTTCGATTTTCGTGAATTAGAATACTATCAAATGAAATGGTACTGGATCAACATATAGTTTAAGTATGTTTATATGTCTTTGACGTTAGAGAAGAACAATTATAGTATGCAACTTTTCTCAACAAGAGAGTATTACGTCCAGGAATACATATTTTTATTTTAGATTTATTAACATATTCAAGATACAGTAGCTTCATCAGATTTTCTGTAGCACCGTTTTGCCGGCAAGAACTAAACATGTAAACAATATAATTACATGACTGTATAAATTATTTGTTATATTAAGTATGCCGGTATGCGTATGCTAACGCATACGCGCCTTGTTACGTATTTGTCAATATTTTCCTCTAACTGTAACGGATACATATATATAACTTATAAGGCATGCGTCAACCTTAATTACGTAGTTTTAAAACGCTCTCTTAATGTATTTCAGTTTAGGAGATACACTAATAATGTGAACAATATAGCCAATATACATGTATATGTAATAAGAAGATCGAAACTCGAGGCTGTCTGATTCAAGATAGCATAGTTCCCGAGTATAAATCACACTGGTGGGTGTTTTGATGTTCTTTCTCTTTTGTAACATAGACAAAAATAAAGATGTTCCCTGTTATCACAATATGAAACCCCAGAAAAAAGTAACCCATGAACGAACATCTGAACATGACATTTCTATCGCAATCCTTTTCTCCGCAGTTATATTAAGTTACCACCTAGAAAAAATGAGCCAATCAATGGGTAATCAATTTGGAGTTTGGCACTCAATTATGTATATGATGTATACGATTTAACTTTGACACATTTTCAACAGAAAGGTCCCAAAACTTTGATACAACATTTATATACATACCTTTGTTGGTCCAGTGTCAAGGCCAACAGTAAAAACATTTAATCTATAGTCCTCCCGATATCCGTCCTCATCAAATTTTATACGTCCCGTAAGTCCTTCGAAATCAAGCTGAATAATATAAATATGGAACACTATGTCGTCTCATCAAATTCATTTTATCTAGAAACTGTTATAAAAATTGCCTTGTAATGCTTTTTCGTTAGGTTTCTTGTTTCAAATTAGGATAAATATTTTGATTTTTAAGTTGCCGTATCATGTGAAATGCCGATGATTTAAACAGAAATACATATCTTTAACGAAATCTTGTGCATTAAGTATGATGAATAAGATCAACAAGGAAATGCCGCGTTCAACGAACGCAGCCCCTACACGACACAGCAACAAGAATCAGTGGCAAGGAGCCCAAGAGGATCTAAAACAAAAACAAGGTAGAGCACAGAGAACTTTGCCCTTTGACTCACGTGTTTGTTCTTGTTCTAAAAAGTAATATTAATAATTGCATCATAATTATACAATATGCAGGTCTTTTTTTTTTGCCTCAAGTATTAAACTGACAAATACGTTAAATGATTTTAGAAGTTGTAAAATTACCGTTTTTATATGAGCCATGATAGCTTCCCCATGCATCCACGGTATAGGTGGATTCGTTGTACACGGTATTCCTTTTGTTCTGTTGTTATTGTAAACCTCTTTACGTCGAAACGTAGATTTGAATATTTTCGGGTTTTCTGTCACCATGGCTTTTAGAGCTCTTTCTACCACAAATATCGCATCAACGGCCAATGCAGCTTCGTACTGAACAGAACAGAACATTTTTTTAATAAAGACAGATAACAAGGTTAAATTTAAAAATAAAGGATGATTAAAGGTCATATCATTCGCTTGACATTGTGTGGATGATATAACTTTTCCCTTTACATACGGGAACCAAACGTAATTAACATTTGCCGCTACTGTAGAGTCAGGCATCAAATCTGTTCAATCGGGACAGGCTCTAGACTGTTTATTTATATCTTTAACTTGATGCTCTAAATTGATCATACATTTTCAAAAGTCTGGAAACTGGACAAGTCCATTTAAGAAAGTCAGTTTTTGAAGGGTATTTTAAAGTGTGTACAAATAGGCACAAAAGCAAACAAGTTAAAGAAAAAAGCGATGTTACTCCATGTAATTTTTCTTCATTAGAGTTATTTCATCATAATTTGTTCTAAGGTCCCCAAAGTTTCCGCGTTACTTCATGTCCGTCTAATGGCTTAATATTATTTCACGTTGAACAAACACAAATGTTAAATAAACCATGAATAATCTGCAAGCAAGCTTTCAATCAAATTGTAGAGGATAAATGCATTGGTGCACATCTGACTCAATTTCGCGTTTTAATGTTTTTCCTGTTGGAAAACAAAAGCATTTGTTGAATAATCAGATATACTTAATACTAACATATGTGTTCTGATGTGAAAAAAAATAATCCGGAACTCGGTAAATGTTTGTTTTTCCGTGCTAATCCCCTGGTACAAACAAACTTTTACATTTATAACTTCACGATGAACTACCGGTCATAATAGATAAGTCTACTGTTGCACTTTTTTCGAGGCTGTAACTGTAAAAGTTTGCTTGTACCCCAGGATGAGCTGGGAAAAAAATTCTTTACTCCGAAGTAAGTCAATTAATCATACATTAAAACATCACCATCACGTCATTACCGTTAATGTGGTATCCGACAGTGTGTCTCGTGCATCTGGAAGTGAACTGTGGTCAATATTATTCCATTCTTTAATAAAGTTTGTAAGAACTTTGCTCTCTAAGTCAATTAACTGGAAACCCGTTATGTTTACACCTCCATGAATATAACGGCTCATGTCCATATTTGCGAAGTCCTGTAGTGTATAAATACATTTTGGTTGTTAAAGATTACCACCGACTGTCTACTTTTAATATCAATATATAATATATATAATATTTATAATATATATATATATATATATATATATATATATATATATATAAAGAAACTGTAAATATTGCTCTGATGATGCGCAAAATAACATATATTTTCTTGTTTCTTCGCCTAACACATTAATTACGTAAACCTAGTTTTGTATCTTTATAATGAACATTTTGTTATTTAAACTTGCCTGGGAAGGGCCTTCATTAATGTTGGTAAAACTTGTGGCCAACCCATTTGCTTCAAAACTGTTAACATACATGTTTCCTTATCCGTATTTATTGTATTCTGTTTTGTATTAATGTAATCTTTATGTTACATGTACATGTTTCAAGCAATAAAATATGATTAAATCAAAACCGACTGTCTGGACTTACATGTACGTGTGAAACATGTAAATCCCATTAAAAACGACAAACTTGTTCTTTTCGAAGCAAATTCTGTTTGCTAACCTAAAAACAGGGTTAAGCTTGACGCTGAATGCTGCGTAACATTATTCACTGAAAACGATATATCTAGAGCAACACGGTTCCCGTTTTGAATGGCGGGAAAAAATTCCCTGTAAAGTTTTGAAAGGTAGAGTATATTTTTTTAGTATGTCCTTAAATTTTATTTGGGGTTGTGGGCGAAAAAAAAGATTATTATTAAAAGTTATTCTTGCTTTTTTCGCTTTAAAAGTTAGGCCCCCGTACTTCTAAAAAACGGGAAAATCAAAATTTACAATATACAATTATATATTTTGAAAAAGTTTTTTAATGTAGCATGCTATTCGTAAACACATTTTTTAAAAGAAAAGAAAACTTTTAAAAGCAACTCATTTTCAATCTTAAAACAAATATATGCGGAAAAAAAATTTATATTAAAAAAAAACAAAAAAATTTCCTCTTCGATTTATTCAAACATTTCAAGGAATTTAAAAAAAAAAAATGTAATAGAATACTGATTTAAAATGATAAAGTTTCATTCATTTTAATATAAATTTGTTTTGACATTTTAGATCTTCTCATGTAACCCAATAGCAATTTTGGTTATCCGCATTATGTCATAAACCATCTCTTATTGTAGACAAGCGCCGCCATAAAGACTGGTTCACAATCATACATCATTTCACAAGAACCATCTTTTCTGACAATCAGCAAACTTTAATACAGAAATACAAACTTTGTTGTAATGCGTTAAAATGAGTATAACATATCGATCATGTTTATAATGCTGTATCATTTAAGAAAAAATATTGTGAATAGAAACATTTAAATCTGATAAGCTTACACACACTAATCAGTCATTTTCGGAAAATAAGTTGTGATAATTATAGTATTTTTTTCTCAAGATAAGTATCTTTAAATGTTCACTTATTTAGCCTTTTCTATAAATCAATGCCATCATTTTGGTTTCAAATTTATAAGCAATTTGGAGAAGAACTTCATAAGATTTGATATCTTTCATTCTAATTTCCACAGCTTATATTAGCTGAATCTTTATTATCATGTATTGTGTATGTTTTGGAATAAATATGTTTGATAAAAAATAATTTTGTTTAAGTTATTCGATTTATACCATTTTATTTATAGCTTTGTTAATTAATTCTACATGTTCTACGCCGATCACTGAATATGCATGAATCAAAAAGTGGGTGGTTACATTTAAGGAAAGTATTAACTGATTATAGTTCATATCGAAGAGTCATTGACTGTTTTTGAATACACACATTTACTCAAGTACCTTTTTATATTCAATTTGATATACAATATCTGCAACTTCAATGTATGTTCTACTGTGGAAATAATAAGCCTATTAAATTGAACATATTTTATCACAACCACTTTCTGCAATCAAAATGGAAAAATGTTATTGGATAAAAAATCTTACCAATGTGGCCACAAGGTAATGGTAACCATCTTTGTTCATTCCAACTTCTGGTATCTGTAATTCAATATTTACATGTAACGATATTATAAAGTTACTGTAGTCATCATTTATTTCAAACATCAGACCTTTCCTTGTTTTTATGTGACAACGCAAATGCTATACCGCATAAAAAATTGTTTCATACTTCAGACTTTAATTTGTTATTTCCCACTTATTAATTCAAACATATGATGCTGTACCATATAAAAGTTGTTTTATACTTAAGAACATAAGATTTATTCATTAATTACATATTCATTAAAACATATGAAAGAGCAGATTAACATAGTACATGCGTTGTTTTGCTGCTTATTGGACATACGCATGGAACTTCCGAATTTCTGGTAAGTATAATTACTAACTAATTAGGAATACCTAACGCGGTCTTTAGCCGTGATTCTGTTACAAAATGTTCTGATAAAAGTCGAGTAAAACCCTCATTTGAAGCCGCGTACGATAAAAAAACGTAATGCGTTTGCGAAACAGCATGGATACAGACCAACCTGCGCATCCGCGCAGTCTGTCTAGGATCCGATGCTGTTCGCTTGCAACCCTATAACAAGTAGAGAAACTGATAGCGAACAGCATGGATCCTGATCAGACTGCGCGGATGCGCAGGTTGGTCTGGATCCATGCTGGTCGCAAACCCATTATGTTGGGTTTGTCGTGACGCGGCTCATTTGTAATATCCTAAATGTATTGCTTCATTCATGATATGCACTAACTTGTCAAAAAAACGTAGCGCACTGGAAGAAAAAAAAGAATTATCAGGAAAGGGCATATGATGTTCAACAATGCTACACTCTAGAAACAACAATGTTCCACAACAAATAGCACTTCCGAAAAAAAACTTCAAAAATGCCTACATCATTCCTACACCTAACTTAAGAATAGTGTGCTGCTCTTGACTTTAGCAAACTGCGCAAAATATTAGACGGAGTTCATCAAATGTAAATATGTGCATATGTAATATGGTTCAAACATATAAACAAAGAATTAAACTCACATATAATCATATTCATATAATATCGAAAAGTTATCTCCCGGGAGATAGAAGGCAGTGAAGATAGCAACGAATGGCAAGATGAAGCTTTGTGAATTAAGCAAGTATCTCTAGGGACATCGATGTTCAGTTTACATACAATTGTTCTCATAGCAAAACAAAAATGATATCTCTAAGCATAAGCCAATTATGACAAGAGTTGAAAGATGTAGAATATAGCAAAAAGAGTATTCTCTAAAGAAAAAGGAAAATATGAACTTTTGAGTTTAGTTTTAAGTTTTGTAAATTTTGAGATTTTTTACTCACAATTAATATTAGTTGAACAATGTTTTATTTATACATTGATATCAACAATATATGACCGTTTATTGAATTGCCAATGTAAGATCGGAAAACAAATTTGATATTACAAAATATTGATAATTGCTACACAGTCTCTTTGTAAGTATGAAATAAACATGTTTTGACTTCACCAAAGTTCATATTCATGTTTAAAACGTCAACATAGGTCTCACATATAATATATATGCGTAAAAGTAGCAGTATTCTTAAGAAATCAACTTTCTGTTATAAGAACTGACTTATATTATTATTCTTTGTTATTAAATTCGACATTTTCCGAGGATTTCATAGGTTTAAAAATTACTTGATTTAAATATTTACTCAAATGAGCATAGTATTCTATGTTTTTTTGCGTTTTGATGCGAGTATATAATTAATATTGCTATTCATAAAAAAAAGTGATTATGTGCATGGTATGCGATCTTGTTTACCATCATTGTGTTTTTTACAAGTATATTCTGCTGGAACATCGATACCACGGGAATAATAGATCCCAATGTTGACTAAAGAAGATCACTAACAATTTATCATTAATGTTTCAGCTAGGTCATATAATTGATTTACGGGACATTTGAGACACATGGTGTTCCATCAATTTGAGACAATTAGAGATAGCATTGATGGGATAAAGCCACACAAATGGCCCATGCCTCCCGACAGAACTTTTCCTGTCAGCTAGTATTCTATCAAACTGTATTTCACAGACACATATACTGACTTGCATTTGTCACTTACAAATCCAGTTTACACTTTATCTTTTAAAGTACATGTTAAGAATTCTAAGATGGGACTGACGACAGGTTTTTTGTTCACTGTTTTGCATTTCAAACATTCATTTGAGTCAGCTTATGTTGCAGCTAATCAGTTTTGACGAAAGAAGAATTATGAAAATTTTTAGTTTGGCCTGCTTAATTCTATTTTTTTTTTAAACTCTATACTTTGTTTAAAATTAAGATGTTCTTAAAAAATGGAATCGGTCCTAATGGCAAGGTCCTGTAATACCTATAAATAATCATTCTTGGGTTTAGTGATTTTTAGTAATTTTTTCTTCGTTTGATAAACAAAAAAAACAAATTATATACTTGGAGCGGTTTGTAAGTTTATGAAACATGATAACATTGGCATTTTATTTATTAGAGAGAGCACAAGTAAGGTTTTATATAACATTCTTCATACAGAATCATCAACAACATGTTTTCAAACAATATTTCGTAAGAAAATGAAAATGATTCATTTCTATTGTTTTTATCAATATATGAAATCCTTATGGGAAAATGTGCTCGGACGACCAATCACTTTTAAATATAATGGATAAAAAAGGAACCACATATGATAATTTTTATCTCGCAATTTTTCGTAATTTTTTGTTTCGTGAATAAGTAAATGTAGCATTTCTATCACAAAAAATGTCTTTGCAAACATACCTTAATAACGTAGACATTTAACTTTCTTTGTCTCATGACCTCAGTTAATAAATGATACCTTTCAGCATAGTACTTGGTTTTAACAAGTTTAAGACATTGCTCGATTATTTATTCTTTGCGACAGAAAGTATTATATTTATTTTGTTTTTATCTACAATTAAAAAATCAACATATTATTCTAAAGGACGTCGAAATATAAAAGCGACTGACCACCGATTTTTTCGGATTTCGACGTCAGCGTACTGATTTTGATTTAATGCATTGATAAATTGCTTTTGTTTGGAAAGTGCGTCTCAAAATAGCAGCTATTAGATAAAAAAGAAAATAACTTTCATCAAGACTGTACTGATCCCTAATAACGCATGCATGAGTAAATCAATGCATTCCGTTAGACTTCAGTGTTGCATAAGTATTACGAATAAGAAAGAATATGAATAAGAAAATCAGTTTTAAGATTTAAACTAGACTTTCAAATACATTGCTGTATGAGGATGTAAATTGCTGTTGTGTCGAAAAATGTTTCATGTATGAAACAATATCAGATGCTATACAAAACACATTTGATAGCAATATTGTCATTCAAAGGCCCTGACAACTCGGCATCTTGCTGTTGAAAATGATTCAACAGCAATAAAACAATTTAGAGAAATTTGTGCTGATTATAAAGAAAACTGCTATCTACCATTAATTAATTTGTGAAAAAGTGTACTTGCCTGTCGTAAAATGTGTTTATATGCTTTTTCAGATGAGAGGTCAAACACAATAAATTTATGCTTGTCCAGATCTGCCTCAACTTTATCTAGCTGCCGTAGTTCATCATGCGCATGCGTGATATTGTATATCCTTCGCGCCACAATTTTGATGTCAAATGGGTGAAACCCGCTTTCCATTTGGTCTCTTAAGTTCGATAATACATCCTGCATATGCTGTAGACCTTCAATAATGAAGATGAGTGTCATGTATACCAATATAATTATGTGTGTGTATTCATACATTGATAACACTTGAACAACATTTTCATTTGTAATATATATTTTATGCTTCAACTTTATGAAATATTTTGTTTCTATTGGGATATACTAACAATAAACATATTAAGTACATAGTTACATAAAGATAATATTTATTCAGATATTGCAGACAATGTTTAGACACTTTTACCATCATTACTGATCGATTCTACTTCTTTCGAGAGTTTATACACTCCCAAGTTCAATGTATTTTGCTAGCTACGTAGAAATAACATTTATCTGAAACGTCGGTCATTAGCTACAAAAGCACAAAGAGTCTTCAGAATTATCAAATCGGATTCCGAACAATTTTTCCAATAAACAGTTAATCGGCAGAAGAATTTGTTTTGACAGATTCGCTACTTACTCTATAATTGACTGCAATTCCGCACACCACAGAAACGCTATTTGTATTGACCAGCTCTTTTAGAGACGCGAGGATCATTATTGGGAAGGAAATTAAGAGGGGAAAAAGAAATGTGTGAACAAATAGAGAAAAAGATGTAGATATTTCTGAGCAGTAAATAGTCATGAACACACAAAGTAGTAGAGCATATTATGTCTTTCCTTATTTTTTATTCTTTTTTTAAATATCTTAATTGCATTGAATTTATCAAAACTGATGCAACTGGTGTATCGTTTTATTTTGGGGAAAAAAACGGTCCTACTTATAAATACTTTTATGTGAGAAAATCTCATTAGGAATTGCATTGTCTTGTTGTGTTTTACAAATCACTAATACCACTAAATATTTCAACTCCCCTCCAGATATACCTGTTTGTCTGCTGACACGAGAATTTTAACCGAAATCAAATGATCAAAAGAGAAATAAACAATGCAGTGAGCAGAGCTCTGATTTATTTAATTCAAGTGAACGATTATTTCAAAGACGTTTTTACAGGATAATTATTCAAATCGCCAGTGATTATTGCACACATGAACATTACCTTTAATTTTTCTTTTTTTAGTGATTATTTAATTTTGAAACGTAAATAGATCGGTGACTTGATCTAAGGATTTATAAAACCTCGAGTCAAGCTTGTTTTTGAATACATTCGTTAAAAGTAATATAAAACGAAAACAAGAAAAAGCATCATATTTGAAAATAGCTAAATTACTTTTTTCTTCTTCAATCTAAAATAATTATTATATTTAAGTAAATTATGAAACGTGTATTCAACGCATTAAAGTGGACCATCTTTATTAACATACCTTCATCAGAATCGTATACATAATGCACTTTTGGCCACTCCAGGGAAAGGATCAATGCAAGAATGGCCAGGGAGTAGTCTGGTTTCATGTGCACCTCAAATCCGTCCGGTGATTTTGGCGTCCACATCGATGTGCTCGGAGAGAGGTAAGGCATGTGGAACGTTTTTGTGAATGACTGAACAATATCTAGTGACGTCATATTTTTTACGCCGAAAAATAGAAATACTCCATCAGCCATTCTGTCACAAACTGTTAAGAAGTAATATATCAAGGAGAACTTTAAAACGAGGAAAATGACAGTTTTATTGTTTTCAAGAGTCACCGGTTTTAAAGCTAAAACATTTACAATATTTACATAATATTCTATTTGTCAGAATAAATAGAGAATACCATCCCAGTGTCTGATATTACAAAATTTATCAGGCACGGGTAAGAAAAAGAAAAAAAGGGCGAGGCTCTTCCGAGCCCTTCATTTTTTTTTCTGCCAAGCCTAATAAATTTTAAAATGTCAGACTTTTGTTTGGTATCCTATTTATCATGTTTTCTATTTTAGTATGCGTTTGTTTCTTTAAATGTCAAATTAATAAAATGAACCTTTCAAGAACCCTTCGAGGTCATGCGGTGCGCAGTAATATTCCAAGGGTCATATCTTTTAGAAATAGTCCCACATTTTCAAACTAGTGTGGTGTAAAATAATCCATTCTCTTAATTTTATTTCAATATGTATTGATGATGTGTGTGATAAAGCTGAGAGAGACTGATAAAGTTAAAGTTATCAGGCATGCACTTTATCAACAGAAATCATTATAATGATATGATAAAAAGTTTACTTGGATAGAAACAGAAAATTACACATAGAAGATAAGATGTTTTATAAAAAGAGGATATTGAATGAGTGTAAGTTCAATACTGAATTTATTGCACGAGTTGAATAAAATAATAATATTATGCGAGCCTCTGAGATATATTATTTCTTAAATGAATTGAAAACTTGCCAAATTAATAATATCATTGAAGTATTATTATTATTTTATATAATTTATTTAATAATAAGTTTAAGACCACTTCTTTTGAGATTTAATCTCGTATCGATTACTTATTATAGGAATACAAGATTAGAATGAGATATTAAAGATTGTGTTGGTCGCTATTATTTTGAACAGTATATGAATAGTTTTAGAGGGACACAAATCATGTACAATAACTAAATGCATGCACTTAATTATTATTATTATTATTATTATTATTATTATTATTATTATTATTATTATTATTATTATTATTATACACGTGCAATTGAAAATATTTAAATTTAAAAACAGTTTATACGAATCTATTTCAGTTTGATTGTGTTGGTAGCTAGAAGCTTATTGAAACACTTTCGAATCAGTTCCTGGAACCAACCAGTACTAAGCAATTACTGTAAAGTGTAAAGGACTTATTCAAATATGTGTTACTGTCAATGACTTTATTATTTTTATACATGTATATTAAGCATATGGATATAAAAGTGTTCACTTACTTGCCGACGCTAGTGTGAAGCTATCGGAAACGTCTATTTCGTCTATGTAAGCTGATAAGGCAAAAGGATTTGTCTTAATATCATTATGTTTAGACAGAGCATATCTGAATGCCGTCTTAGCTAGCCTATCTTCCTCTGTAAAAATTGCACCTGAAATAAACAAAAGACGTTTTTTGAAGTATGCAATTAGTAGAGTTTTCTTGTCTCCTTTTTTTTAACTTCGTCAACATTTACATATTTTTTACACATAGGTCACTTAACAAGAAGTCTTGCATGCCTGTAACAAAATCGTTACAAGTGTAATAGGATGGGTATTTACGGTAATCTAAGTTAACAGTTAATCTATAAGTTATGAGTTACTATCTTTCATACTTATTGCATGGTATATACATTATTATTCTCAACCAATCAAATTGTTGCAGTGAATACTGAATTGTATAAATAAGCTGACTTTGACAATGTTAGCTAGGTTAGGTACTGTACCTACTCTGGTCAGTACAACAAGGCTTAGCCTTGAAACATTAAACTGGACTTAGTCCTAAATACAAACGTTTACGTTTATTATAATCGACCACATATAAAATATATCATAAACATAATCTTAATCAAATAATAAATATAGTTATTCTTAATATAAAACTAAATATAATTTGATTAGTATACTCATTAAATTTGTTAGGGCTTTTCATAAATTAAAAGCATTGATTGAAATTGTATTTACTAGTTGTTGTTGTTTAGTCCATCATCTTTATATAGAGACACTTATATAAATCTACTGAGCCCTGAGAATTTACTCCAGTTATAATTTGTGATCGTTTGGTCTCCGTGTAAAGCATTGATTCTCATTAGAACCTGACCACTATTACACAAGAAAACAAAATCAAGAAGAAATTTCTAGCGAATTTTAGGTATTCAGTTTCATTTTCATTGACTTTACTGATAACATAAATCGAGAACTATTTGTTAGAGGTATTAATTATTTCTAATTAAACTTTGAGTTTTAGTTTTTACAAACTTTTAGCTGAATGATCAGTGTTAATAATATAAGAAAAATACACGGGCACCATAGCTACTATTCAGCTACTGTGCTATCATTTCAAAAACATTACAGTTCAAATTTGTTGTTATTATCCAACTCCAGAATTGATGTAACAAGAACATTGTCAATATATTCCGGTTGACTGGATGACTTTACATAAAACAAAAGCAACAAAAACGAGTTTTTGGTGAGAAACACATATTTTATGTTGCTGCATTAAAGTAATAGACATTTATTCTAAATTAAAACATTAAATTTAAATGCGTTAAATCTATACGATTTTATAAATTAATAATTGAAATGAGACGTGTTTTTTAATTCTAAGGCAAATATAATACTTCTGATGTAATAAATTTCCAGATTTTCACTTTTAAAGACACAGATTATATTTATGTTTCCAGATTTTAGAATTATATCGTATGCACGTGCTTTTTCTGGCTTCATGGTACTTTGTAAAAATCCGGCTGTAAAATAACCTTACCAATAGGAACAATGACGCCATCCGGTATATAATTCTGACAATCACACACTTCCATCAACATTAAAATAAAGAAAAGTCTTCCAAGACATTTCCGCATTTTCCTTGAAATATGTTATTTATAACGCGGCTTGTTTTATTCCATCAATTTATAAAATATAATAAACGCAGAACGGGGAAGTGAATTCTATTTATGCAAATCTAGTATCTTTTTTAACAGAATGCTACGGATAAGATTTATATTTCAAGTAATTTGCATTCATTTTCACATTTTATGCTAACTGTAAACTCCATCAAGGCCTTTGCCATCATAAACCACTCCTCGAAGCACATTTGATAGAAATCCTACCAACGAATTCAGGAATTTATTTGTGATTGAAATTAGCACAATGCATCTTATATGAGTCTATTCTTACTAGATCACAAGCAAATTACTTGAGTATATCCCCTTATGTATTGATTTGGACGTGTCCAAAATATTGAAGAGCCTATTAACATCGATCCAGTACATAGATCTTCTTGTCAAAAATATTAATCCGACTTTGTTATTGTAAAGCAACAAATACAAACCATTTCCAAGAAACTGATCCAGTTATTGACAAATTACTGTCTACTTTATGGCAAATGTCAAAGTTTGACAACAACAAAACTAAATAACTTTTTTTGCAGAAACTGCGTTCTCTGCCAAGTAATTAAGTATACAAAAAAGTGGATTTGGATATTTGTTCAACTTATATACAGAAAAGGTTTACCTTTTACCAAAAGCTTTTAAGATTTTTTTTTTTCTAATTTCTATTTTGAATAAAATTGTGTAAATATTTTCGCAGACATTTCTTTGTAAAGTGATATTATCCGTAAAAATTTTTTCTGAAGACTATCTGCCCGAAAAAAACAGTTTGATATTTATTACTTCACACACAACATGTAGTATGTGAGAAATAGGGGAAACCAGCTTTCAAATAACAGTTACAATAAAGTCGAATTTAATATTTACATCAACAATGGTCATCGGCAAAGACTAGATGTATAATAATTTTAAATTGAAAATAAATTGCGAATGTTTCATTTTAAAAAGTATATTACTTTTCATTCAAAGCTGAATCAAGCGAAATACAACATATAATCTGCATTAAGGATTTGAGAATGTTTTTTTTTTCTAACAAGTTATTTTATTTGTGCGTTTCATTTAAATATTTATACTTTCACTGTTAAAATCATACATGGATTGTTATAGACTACCATTGGTACAGTTTGGAGTATTTTGTATGTTGATAAATAACATAGCCACGAATAAAGAAATTGTTTTAATAATTTATTCTTTACTTTTTAAGAAAAACTTTCAGGATATTTGAATGGACTCCAGTTCCTGGAATAATCAAAACTGTTGTGATATATGGAAACATCGTTGTGACTATTGTAGGTTTCGAGCTCATGATATCTGACTTAAGTAGCAGGCACATTAAAAACACAAGCCCACTCATACCCATTTGCGTTACAAATATTTTTGTGGAAGTGTTCAAATTAATAATATTTGACATAATATTACCTCAACAGATTAAAAAAATCCTCACTCTGTTGAAAACACAATTGTCGCTCGACAATAATATTGATATCTGCAATTTCTCCTTTAGCCCCCAGTATTAGTTTGAACACAAGTGATACCGAAAAGTCTGTTGCAATAATCATCAGCGTTTTTGTCAATCAAAAGTTAATTTAATGTGTTGTGGCAAAACATGATAACAGGAAAAGATACAAAAAGAGTTGAAAAATATTATATTATCTAGCCGCAGTATTACTGCATCTGTTATTTTTCAAACAGTTTTGTAACGTGTATTGTGAAGTAAAATTTCAGACTTGTTAAAAATTATGATTGTTGTAGACATCTTTCTTTTAACACAATTTTCAGATTTAAAAAAAAAAAAAAGAAGAAAAATCTAATGATATGTATTGTAATTGAGTTTCCTCTAATATACTATTCAACATGCTTATTTGATAAATTAAAAGAAACTTTATTTATGTAAATGCAATGTAGATGTCTTTCAAATGAAATGCTGCTCTTGTGAATTCATAATTATATTTTCACAGCCTCCCTAAAATTAACGAAAATTGTGTATAAGAACAGTATCTTTATATTTTAATTCATTAAGAAATTGCTCACCAATTGGTACCACAATCCCATCCGGCACATAGCCCTGACAAAATCCGAAACCAAAAAAGTAACCAAGCAAAACTAGACTTAAAGCACCTAGTCTATTTAAAATAGTTTTCATCATATTTCTGCCCTAGGTTGCGCACAAGTTTCCCGTTCAAGAAAACTCTGAAAACTGTCTTCAATTTCATGCATAATGTTCACATTTGTTTAACTGATTACACCCAATTTCAGCCGGCATTTTACTTAAAATCTATTTATTTTATGGATTAATCGACATTAAGAGATTCAATCTCACTACCTCAAACTTGACAATAAAATCATTTTATTCTTTAATAAGGCAATTTATAATCTTATCTCGGAAAACAGGAAGTCTTTCTTGTCACTCTGTGCACACTCGTGATTGCTATAGAAGCAATACGCATGTTTTAGAATATAATTTTGCTCCTTTTTGCTTGGTTATTGCCAAAAAATAAGATGTAAATTTTAATAAAATTCTCTTAAAATATCTTTCTGAAAGCAGATCTTATTCACAAAATTATCTTGAGATTGCGTTTACATGTTGTAAAATCACATCAATTTATTTTATATTAGCATCAATTGTGTCTTCCTTAGTTACTATTGTTTGTTGTGTTAACAATAAAATCGTTTATCTACAAATTTTATTAGAATGTTATCATACAAAAGATAACCATGAAAACAAATTAAATCGTATTTTAAATTTAATGACGTTTACTTTATTTCCCTAGCTAGAACTTTATGTATATATTGTTTCTTAAATTGCTCTTTACGCTACATAAAATAGTTCCAATCATTTTTGTTTTCAGTATTTGCTTACATTGCTTAAAAGTTACTTTATCAACGAAAAATTCAGGTGTAATTTCATATATTATCTCCATGCCAATATCTGAATAAGAAATGCAAAACAATATTATGAGGTTATTATAAAATAGTGTATTTTATTGCACTAGTACACAGCTGTTAAATTGATATTGGACGAGGCGCTAGCTAGTATCATAATTGGATTCAACAATGCATATTGGCTTCCTTTTATGAAACCACCATTTTTTATTAGTTTGACATAATTTTGTTAATTGGAATACAATAAAGTTTTAATATGAATTTTCAGACTCGGAAAAAACAATATAGGTTATGCAGAATGAGTCCAAGAAATTCATTATGATTCACTAAAATATATAAAGAACTCTATTTTTACAACACTCATTCTTAATGAGAAAACATTGTAATTAAAGTTAATTGTGTTTTTTACATTAAAACTATAGTTACTTCAAATATAATATGGATATAGAACTTTTGGGAAAATGAATACGAGGCTAGATAGAGTAAAATATTGAACTGATATGGACTTGGAAAATAAACGCGAGGCTAGATGGAGTAGAGTATATATTTGCCACGAATCTTTTGGAGTCAGGAAATGAAATAAACCATCAACTAAATTTAAAAAGGCGTGAAATAACATATCTTCTCAGTCTCTAATTCAGTTGTTGAGGGGTTGAAAAAACAACAGTATTAGCAAGGGTATAAAATTTTTGCAAAGTTTTACGGCCCGTGATTAACTATTGATTCGAATCGAGACAAGAATTGGTATTCTATTAATTTTAATATCACTAGCGTTCTTCATTTCTTGAGATGCATCACAAATCTTTATTTGATAACAAACTTTGTGTAGAGAATAAAATTATTTTGTACTACATAAAGAAACAAGTATACTTTATCATTATATCTATTTTAGACCTAAAGAAAATTTTGAGAACTATCACACTTGCAAGATGTAATCAACTCGTTATGTTGACTGATACGATCTGTATTCTAATAATATCAAAAGTTCCGATTAATTTTAAATGTCCGTGCAATATGTTTAGAGTATAATATATTTCTAGAAGGAAACGAAAACATGAACATTTGTGTTACAGTATGTAATCTTCCTAAATTTAGGTACTGTTTACTTGGAATATTCTTTATATAGTTATACATTTTACTTATCACGTGAACGTCTTTATTCTTTGAAATGTTTTTTTTTTTAAATACAAACAACTTTAACAAGTGTAGATTTCAGCTGACATACATGTATATCATTCAAATATTAAACCATAGTTAAATGTTAAACAATTAATTTCGAATAATTTTTTATCTATGTTTAAACGCAAATTTACCAGACATGTATAATCAAGCTGATTTGCAATATGCCTTACCTATAGGAACAATAACCCCTTCCGGTACATAATTCTGAGAATTAATTAGGCGTGCTATATTTCCAAGTAAAATAGTACTAAATATATGTATAGCTGATATTTTCATATTGACTTCCTTTCCAAAATTCAATATCAGCGCCTTATAACATATATTTCCATTTTATATTAACAACCGATTTGCAGATTATATTAGAATCACATTTCAACACTTAAAATAAAAGTTCAAATAATCCATCTCTATCATCCGCTTTATGATGTTTTTTTCATTTGAGAGTATCTTTTTATATTCAAATTTGTTAATATTCTATGTGTTTATGTTCTACCGAGGAGGTTTGTCTACAAATATGTCGAATTTCGCTTCTGTTTCGGATGAAAAGGATAAAACAATGCATCAACTAACGAGACTACTTGTGTTTGATCGCAGGCAGATAACTTAAGCATATTCCCTTGTGGATTGGTTCGGACGTGTCCGAATTACTAAGGAACCTCATAATATTGATCCGGGATCTGGATCGAAATGTCAAAACCCCCATTCTAGTATTTGACAAAGCATCATAAAAACAACAATTTTCAAAATAACACATTCATCCTCTGACAAATAACTGTCATGTTCATGGCAAATGTCAAGACTTTATGTTACCAAAAACAAAACATGTAACTCCCAAAATTGCTTTTGTTATCAATTCAATTTGACAATACTGGCAAAGGAATGGGGGAAATTCATATAAGGACAAGATT